TGCAGTCTCTGTCCGTCGAACTCTCGGCTGTATACCTCCTCCTGCGAAGACGACGGATCACGTCCCGAGCCCCCTTTCTCTTCCATTTGCTGAGGAGCCTTGTGGACACCGGCGGTATCGTGCGCGTTGCCGCCCACTTTTCCGCGTCCCTTTTGTCTCGCGTGGTTTTCTCATCTCTCGCTCACTTTCGCCGATTCTACGGGCAGGTGTGTTGCCCATCCGAGAACACCCGCGCGAGAGTAAGTCTCACGTGCAGTCCAGTTGCGTATACGCGTTCGTTTCATTTTTTTTTTTCTTTTTTGCCTCTACTTATGAGGTAGCGTTGTTCTTGTCAGCGTGTGCAGTGCCGCACCTTGGTCCTTGCACGGTGTCACCCCCCCCCCCTTTTTTTTTTCGTTAGAGATACTGCGCCGCTTCTCGATGGCGAACGTGTTTTGCTCGTAGATGTCGACGTCCGCTGGACTTCCGTTCAGTACGTTCCGTTCTGTTCTGCCCAGAATGCGACCGCGCATCCACTTGTTACCAACGTTAAATTCACAAGAACCGCGAGGTGGGAGAGGTCTCGGTCCTTTTTTACGGCCTGGGCGTGACCGGAATAGCAGTCGGCGAAGCCCTCTGGCACGACTTCGTGTACGCTTTGGCGACGACCGTCCTCGCCGCCGCCGCATCCTTCGAAGACGTGCGTCGCGCGCTCTTTCGCGCACAAGGTTGTTTCGAGCGCGCACGTCTTCTCGCGATTCTTGGACGAGCGTAGCGTGGAGACACGCGTATAGAGTCCGCGACGTCGGCAGAAGCGCAAGGCACGTTCAAGCGAGCGTTTGTATGTGTCACCCAACATGCACGTTTTGGACGGCGGTTGTCGGGCCCCCTTCGCGACGCTCCTGCAGTTCGCCATTGTCGCGTGCCGAGTAGTGCGCGCATTTTCTCTTGCACGGAGTAGCGGCGTTCTGCGATTTCTCCGTGCCTCCGAGACTCTTCGCTGGCGCTTGCGAACTTTGAACGATTACCCGTCTGCGGAGGAGTGGCGCTCGTATCGCCCAGACGCGGACGGGATTGATGAATTCACGCAAGACAGTCGGGAGCAGACACGGCATTTGTCATGTGCCCTTCGCAAGTGAGATCTCTTTCCAGCTGGATCAGTTTAATTTTCTTGCCAGAAAGCTTTCCAGTTCGGTGATTAGGCTGTATAGGATTATAATTGTATAGGATTATAACGATTACCCGTCTGCGGAGGAGTGGCGTTCGTATCGCCCAGACGCGGACGTGCTTGATAAATTCACGCAAGACAGTCGGGAGCAGACACGGCATTTGTCATGTGCCCTTCGCAAGTGAGGTCTCTTTCCAGCTGGATCAGTTTAACCTTCTAACCAGAAAGCTTTCCAGTTTGGTGATTAGGCTGTATAGGATTGTAATTCAGCTCTATGACGAAGAACGTCCAGCTGGAATATGGCCGAATTCAAGCTGGGAGCTGACAATGTTCCAGGTGGATATTCGTCCACTTCTCGTCGAATTGTCGGAAGTTGTCTTTCCACCTGGGAAAATTCACGTTTCAGTAATTCATCTCGAGATGGAACTTTTTCGTCAGGGTGCACCTTAAAACCTAATACATTAACAAGCAGGTACACGCAATAATAAATGTTTGTAAGTGATTTCGTTGAAAACTTTGCTTCTTTGGGAGTTTGTTACCTCTCGTTGAAAGCCTCGTGCCTTTTCTTTATATGGAGTACAAGGGGGTGTTTGTCTTTGTTTTTTGATGAATGTCTAATAAAATGCACTTAAACTGCAGCGTGGCTGTTAAATTGCGGTAAGAGCAGGTTGTAGTCCTCTTAAATTGCCGCCGAAAATGCTTATTAGCCTTGGGTTGTTTCAGTTAATTCAACAGCCTTTGTATGAAGGCAGTTCAGGTCTCAGGAGGTCTCTGTCGTGAGGTCCTAACACCACAGATAGCCGCAATATTTTTAAAATATTGCAAGTATTCTGTGTGCAGCTATTGCACACAGGTCTAGCCAGAAAATTTTTTCGAGCTAAGGAGGATAGCTTCACTCACCCTTTACATATTTTTGTGCATATTTTGTGCATGTATGTATATTTGCACTAGCAAAATAAAAAAAATTTGGAGGAGGAGGTTGAACCCCCAACCTCTACCTGGCAATGCCACTAAGTAGCCAGCATGCAAGGTGAGCGAATGCCAATACGCCACAATGACCTGTTTCCACGTTATCACCTGTACACCTCCCTGAAATCGAAACAGGCGGAATCACGTCCTTGAATTGCGCTAATCTGGAAATCTACGAGGTGTGCTGTTATTTTACTCTCTAGTACTGAACATCTGAAACCTTCATTCACTGTAAAGGGCAGGGAGATGTGCATAGAAGGCTGAAATGTCATGTCAGTACTCCTTTGTAGGCTACAGTTTGTTGACTTTCTGGCAATATAACCCATTGTAGGTTGCTGGTAGAAGCAAATATCACTTCTATGGTAAATCTATCAGGCGAGTACTTTTAAAGGCAGACTTTTCTGGATAAATACTTAGCTATGTCTATGTCCCTGTTGAAGGAAACAATTTCTAATTCAATTTTAGTTTCCAAAGTCACTGCATTCACTTTCATTTTTGCAAGCTTTTTAAATTAGCAGCTCGCAGCTTCATTGCAGGACATAATATGCCTCATAGTGTGGTTTCGAAATTCAACAATTTCCACTTTATTTTATTTTAGCTATCTTAAAATAATATGTATTGTGATCTATCATAGCAGAAAATTTAATCAGTCTTTGACGTAATTCTTTGCTTTCTCTCATTAAATAGCAGTTCTCTTTTGCCACTTTTTTTTCCACATTTTTCTTGTTACTTTTCTATGTATGTATATATATATATCATGAGTGTCAAAACACCACAGTGAGCTTTCACTGCTTTGACATTAGATTTATGTCTATCTGTGTGCCTTACACGTTTCTTGTACAGAGGTTTTGTTGGAGATTCTTTCGTTTTTAATGCCGGCAGGGAAAATTAATGTTTGTTAGTCAATTCATAGCTTCGTTGCAGTAGTTCAGCTTTGCTTGCTTCTCTGATGTTACAATGACAGTTTCAGTGCCATGATACCTGGTGGAGGCAATGTAGCGTAATTTCTGTTTTTACACAGTCGTTAAATTCAGCAAAGCTTCCTGCATGCAACACAGCGATTTCAATAAAGTGGCAGCACATACTCTGCGACGCTTCATGGAAGGCTCAGTTTCTGTGGGATCCTGCTGTGAAATGGAAGTTTACAGATTTTATTCATCACTATGGTACCGTATTACATTGCCGACATGGCATTCATCCACTGCGATATTGACTTATGGGAATGAATATTCTGTGTTAGAGAAACTGGCCTCCAGTTAAATAGATCAGTTTTCTGCTAACAAGCTTCACCTAATTAAGCTCACCTTTCCTTCAAATGAGATATTTTCAGCATATTTGATTTTGTTTGTCAGTGCAATAAAAGAAAACTCTAAATGTACCGTTGGTGTGAAAAAGGTTTTGGACTGCAAAGGCAAGCTTGTTCCATGTTTGACCTCCTTTTGGGCCATGTCTAAAATTTTGTCGATCACTCATAATAACCCTTCAGAAAGTCCTCCTAAGTAGCTGTAGTTGTTTTAATTATGGGTACAGGGGTTGTGGATTTTTTTGCTCTGTCAAGAAATTTGTAGTGCTCTGTTCCGTGCATAAGATACTTGCTAATTAATGGTGTGCAACATTTTCTACTCAATGAAAACTACTCAATCTTTTTGACAGAAAGAGAGGAAAACTATATTTATAAGGCAGAATATATTTATTATTTATTATTAACTATATTTATTCCCAGTGGAATAAGCAGGTGCAACAAAAGCTATATGTCGGGGTGCAGCTCCTTAGAAATTTAGTCTCTAGTGTTCCAGATGTAGGCACTACAGCAGGCAGATAGATTAACCTTTATATAAATGGCGTTTGGTACGAGTTGGATGGCTGTTTCTTTGCACAGAACTGCATCTAATATAATTGATCTCGTACTTCAATTCTGCACCTTTGTTCATCTCTCAGAAAATAGAACTCGTGTCAAATGTAATACTATCTTGTTACGTTTCACAAGAGTTATTGAGAGCATGTTGCTACCTAATGTAAAGTTACATAACCATATTTTGTTACTCCCTTCAGGTATTGTTTAACAAGGATGTACTCAGGGTGGGGGGGGGGGGGTGTTTGCTTACAAATATTAAATATTGTTGCTTAGGAATATTACATGACTTTCTGTCTGTTAAAAATAAAGTTTGTTCTAAACAAATGGTTCAGGTTAACAAGAGTGTACTTATGGATGAGACACTCATGAGGGGGCGGGGGGTTGTTACGAATGATAAATGCCATTGCTTATAACTATTATATGCCTTTCTGTCTGTTAAAGACAAATGGTTGAGGTTATGGATATTAGAAGGACACTAAAGAGAAAAATGTTTTTTTCACGTATTAGTAAAGTACAATTTTACAATCCTAAAAACGTCATTCTTAATGCAACACGACGCTTAGTAAGAGAGAAAATGCGGGGGAAAAAATGCGGGTGACGACGCCTTTGTGAGATTCCTGTGCCAAACAGGATTTTTAAACCATCTACTTGGTTTTACATAGCTCCTACTCGATAAAAATGAAGTACATAGTCATCTGTGGTGCCATATACTTTGGATACAAGATTTTTTTTAATTTTCATCGAGGTAATGTTGCAAAAATATGAAAAATGCATTTTGAAATTCGTTACATCACGTGCGGAGATCTTGGCACGAAATTTAAAAATAAAACTTCAACCTTGAAGTTCTCGGCTAATAATGAACTTATGACAGTGAAACTTATGACATTAGAGTTTTCAGAGTGCCATTCATCATTCTAAACCAAGTCGTTCTTCACAGTTCCTTTGAAATCGTTACTTTTTTTTTGCCTATTGTGCATAGATGCGTCGTACACGTTCTTACATGCACGCTTCTTTGTCTTTCCTACACAGATGCAAAGAAAGGCGCGGCAGGAGCAACGACAAGGGTGAACTCCCAAAGTCCCGGCTCAGGTCCTCCCAGCAAGGTCGGAGAGACGCGAATCCAGGCCCAGACCAAAGCCGAATTCACCAAGGAGATCCAGCGACTGGGTGCGCTGTGCGAGTCCAGAACCAAGGAGCTCACCATGCTCAAGTTGCAGCTCAGGCATGCCTCGGCCGGATTCGCCTCTTTCGCCGTCGTCGTCCAACACCTCAATGCGCAGGTGTTGCAGGTAATTAACTCTGTTCGTTCTTCTCATCTGTAATCTGAAGTCGTTTTTTATTCAGAAGCCTTCTCTCACAAAGTTGTTACCCAAATAGGCATAGAAGGGAGGCGTCTAATTTCATACCTGGCAAATCTTACGAAAAACAGCTCGTGGCCCATCCCGAAAGGAGTATAATAGGAACAAAGGCAACAGTGTAAGCACTACAGTCTTTTTTGTCTTGGCAGGCCAGTGTCATGAGGAAAAACGCACAAAATTGGGATGGAGTTGCTGCTGTTGTAAAAAAAAGAGAAAAAGAAACAGAGTATTTGGAGAGTGTTTTTGCCGCACAACTATAGTTGACATATACTTCGTGTATTTTCCTTGATTACGCCTCGGTCTCGGCACTTCCCAGCCATGAACAGCGTGCGTGCTATCAGTGTGATGTAGCTTTTTTAATTGAAAACTGGCTCGAGCGAGGTTTTCAAGAAAATAAACGCAAGCAAGCTAGATGATGATTATAGGTGTGGTGCAAGAATACTCTCCAAATACTCTTTTTGTAGAGTATTTTCGAGGGATGCAGCATATATTTAGTCTCTCGGGTACAGATGCTTGCACATATCATACGATTAAGAATATCATAACTGTTCTCTAGCCTTTCGTGCCCATAATTTAAGCATTTCTATGATGTTGCTGCTGTACTGATGAACAATAATTAGAAACCTACACCGTTTTTTTTTTTTCGTAAAAAAAAGTAAATGTGCTTTGTGAAAAATTGATTCTGCCATTAGTGTCACTGTTCAATGAGCAGTCTGTGAAGCAATTTTGTGCATGGTTCATGCATTGGTGCTTCTCTTTTTTATTTTTCAGAACAACTCATTTCGTATTCCAAAGCTGTCCGAGGAATTGCGGAAATCGCAAGAAGAGATTGAGAAGGCTCGCATTGCTATTGGTGAGAACGAAGTTCGAAAGGCATTCTTTTGTCCCTATAATGTAGAAATTTCTTGTCTTTGCATCTTGACTAAATATGTTCGGCACATGGACCTAATTTTTCATAGTGTTATGGTACAAATCTCAAGTACGGTTGAATTGGTAGATGTATTGGTTAGTGCGTGCATCTTTTCTACACAACTTTGGTGGCTGGCACTGTATCTATAACATCAATAACTACCATTAACACACTAAATTAGTATTGGAATACTTTGTCAGTGCTGTAATTACAGATTTTTGGTGCCTAATCCAGGTAATATATGTTGGTGCTTTCTTTTTGCCTCATGCAAACTACAGAGGAGTACAAAAACAAGATAGAGGAGCTCAAGCAGAGCCATGAAAAGGAAATAATCTCATTGAGAAAAGAGTTGGAAGCGTCACACAAAAAGAGGACGAAAGAGTGTGAGTCCCTGCTGCTATATATCCACTTCCACTTTGGCCTAACCAAGAAAAAAGGGGGAGGGGTTTAAACATCCACTGAAAATGTTTAGTTCTGCATGTGTATATGTGCCTGCATGCACATAAAATGGCCGAACCACTCCACCCTGCGCTGAAAAGGGACCTCTGGCTATGTCACCAATTGACGGGTATGGGAGTTGCCCCAATAAATGTGCCTTTTCGTTTGCTTTTAGTGGAGGAAGCCCATCAGAATGAACTGACTGGGTACTTGGAGGCTCACACACGGAAGGCAAGTACTGCACATGTGTATTTTTATGATGAACAGTTGAGAAATGTTTGTTCTCCACCATACTTCTTGTTGCTGAGGCAGTGGCATATGCGGTCTGTCAGTGACGATGAGTAGTGTTCACGCATCAAAGCTTCTATGAGGGAATGCCTAGCACATATTGTGGCTCTGAGTGGTTAATCATAAGACTATGTAATTGCATTCACTGCTATCAAAGCCAGGAACCTTTTGTGGTGTTGAGAATAACCTAGGGAACCCAATACTTGATGCTAGCAGCAAAGCCAAGTTTTGGATGAAGAACGGCAAACGTGACATACACAGGCCGTTCTGTCGGGGTGCCTATGATATGATTCTATACTACATGATATGATTCTAAATCCCACACTATGATATGATTCTATACATATCATAGTGTGGGATTTAGTTTGCTCAAGCTGCTTTGTTCATAGCTCATTGAAAAGAAAGGCACTGCAAGCATTGGGCTCAGAAGGCAAGAAGTATTCACTGTGAGATAACAACAATTGTTTTATTGTATGTTCGTTTATTGATGCTGACTTGACCTCGATCATGAGCAGGTTGCTCAGAATGGAGATAGTGTTCCATTCGCCCAGACCTCAATGAGGCTCCAGTTTTATGCTCACACGAGACGTCGGGGAATGTAAAATCATGGAAAGAAAGAAATCCGCACTCCTGGAACAAACTGACACAGTACACACACTAATGTTGCCGACACATAGTAATTTGTTGGTAAGATTTACACAACAGCGAGCTCGCTAGTGTGACAATAACAAAGAAATAAAATGCCAATTTAACACCCACACAAACAGCACAACACTCGCAATGTTCTGTGAATGCAAAGTCGCCGATGTTTGACTTGCCACGGGAGCTGAAGTAACCAGGGCGTGGAATTCCTCGCGTACTTTCCGTAAGACTCAATCTTAGTCGTTGTTTAACGGGGACACCCCAAGGAGAATAGTGCCCTTCCGTGTGCGCCTGCGTAACCTCTTGACACCAGGGCAGTGCCACCGCGGCAACAGCGCCATCACTTGTACAGCAGCGAGTACACTAACTACTTTGCAGGACGCATGGATGCCATGAGGCAAAAGCAACTTTAAAGGGTTGTTTGTTGACAAACCCTCATAATAGATGTGATCAGAATGATGCTAAGTGTCTTTCACAATAGCCTCGGAATACATGTGGTTTGCATCAATTGTAGGCAGCCATGAAAAACTTTGGATAAGCAAGCCTAAATTCAGAATAGCTTGTAGTTCAACTTGCCAAGCTGATAGCTAAGCATGCAGTCCTTGTGAGCAGTTCTTTTACTGATAGAACACTCCTATCATGGAGCACTCATGCGGTCGGAGAAAGGGTGCCCACCTTGGTGAAGAGTTTCTTGTCAGTCCTATAATCACCCTTATGCATTCATTGTCTATGTCACAATTAAGTGGTCAACAACGACTTTGGGACATTAAACCCCTTTACATTACAAACTCTTATCATGTGTTGTTTTCATCTGGGCCTCTTCACACAGCTCTTCAGAATAGTGTCATACCACTCTCAGAAATACATTTTCCTTTTGAGAATACTCCACTTCTCTTATACTGCTGCATCATTTTAAATGTTTTTAAATGGGCCCTGCAACACTTTTTGAGCGTGGTCTGAAAATGCTGCCAATCAGTAGTAGAGCCAAATATTATAGCGCAACATGCGACCTGGAATTCACAATAAGTTATTGAAGTCGGCTAAAAATTGCTTTCTCTTCTCTCAGCAAATGACAGAAGCTCAAAAGTAACTCGTAAAAGTCCTTCTATCAGCCATTGGCTGATTCGAACATGGGGCGCTCGGTCATTGCAGAGATCTCCTCGGGAGGCCGTGGCTTGTCCACACTTGTGCGTGATCACACTAAAAAAAGTTGCGTATTCAAAGAAAAAAAAGAAAGAAAAGAAACGCTCAAGGTTACAGTAGTCCCAAGATGCGCATGATGCAATTTCTTTTCCCATCCATCCCTCCATGCTTGGCTTCCAGCGCTTCTGTTGCGACAAAACAAAAGATAATGCAATCGCAGCGTGCGGCAAATCTTTTTAATTTTGATTGCGCTCGTATTGGATGGATTCTTAAAACTTTTGTGGTGGTGAATAAGGGTTTCAGGGCCCCTTTAAGTCCTCTGGTGTAAATGGTCTGCAAAGGTGTCTTTTTTTTTAAGTAAGTCCTGTCCGGATGCATTTTGCATTTTCGATGGGCGCGAAAATGTACGAGGCTTGTGTACTTGATTGCAGGTGCACATTGAGGAACCTCAGGTTGTCTAAATTTCTAGAGCCCTCCACTACGGCATTTCTCATGATCATATCGTAGTTTTAGGATGTTAAACAACAGGCATTATTATTTTTTAAAGTGATGCTCTTCATAAAAACTGTAATGTGCATCAGGTGTCTGCATTTACTGAAAATGGCATGGGCAGATAAGGTTAAAATCAAATGCGAGCTGATTACTCTCTCTATTTAGCCTGCATACAGGCATTTTTGCTTGCAATTTGCCTCAACTGTCTTAAATTGTACATCCTGGTTGTCAAACATGCATATATTTTTACATAGAAATTAGAAAAGCTCCAGTCGTGTGTATTATGTGGTGCCGCTCATTCATGATTCTAACAAAAGTTTGGCTTGCACATTTCTTCTCTTTGATAGCTTGAAGAAATGAAGGCATTTTACACGGATGCACTCGATAACAGCCGCAAAAACAGTGATGAAACCTTGGACGCTATGAAACAGAGGCACAGGGAAAAAATTGATGGTGAGTCCCTAGTTTGAACATAGATCGCTTATTATTTCTGAGAATCTGCTTCGGCTGCAACATGGTTTCAGCTGCTCAAAACACCTCAAACCAATCATTTTTGACGTTCTGATGTATGTGTCTTGGAGCCCATTCAAACAATTTGTTCCGGTCTTCAAAAAATCGTTATTTCTTGAGCACGGAAGTCTAAAGTTGGCGTAACCCGAGGCACATACTCTTGTGGGTCATACTCATAGTTGACTAGCTTGGGTATCCATCATTGCAGTGGCTGTTTCAGTTTCAGGACAATTTATTTTTTCTTGGTTTTCAGCATTGCACTTGTTTTGTGTTGATTATCTGATAACATGAAATAGTTGCACTCTTCGTGCCCTGCTCCAATCAGCACAAAACACTGCGATTACATTGCTATTTGATGCTCAGAATTGAAAGGTACATGCAACAAATAGGTATCGAGTAGACTTCACCTCTGCATTTCCATGTTAACATGTATTTGTGTCAATGGCTTGATTCAAGCTAAACCATGCTCTGTTGCAAAAATTGTGACAGTAATTTCATAGCCCCTGTCAGGCAATACGGCCTTTAGCTCTTACTCCTCTTTCTGTATCAGAAAGAAATAAAATAAAATAAAAATAAATAAAATAAAAAGATAAGTTGAAAAGGGAACATTTGGGGGCTTAAGTGTGTATAACGTGTTTGTTAGTCCCTTTGCACGTTTCTAATGCTGATGGTAGTTGCATTGTTCATAATACGGGCTGGGAGTAATACGAGTTGCAGATTACCAGTTTTCTGGAAGACTTGTGAAAGTTGAAAATCACAGGCCATTTTTCTTTACATATTTTGAGTAGTTATACTAGTTAATAATTATTGTTTTTAGCCACATGTGCCTTGTGCTTATTGGACATATTGGGCATTTCTCTCTAAGCATTCAGGTTGGAGGGGCTAGTTTGCTTTGCTTCATAACGTTTTGAAGCCATAAGGCACGGTTGGTGTAAAAGACAAGTGATGCAAAAAAAAAATATTCGTGGTAAATTCAATACTTTCACATTGTTCTGTAAGCCTTGTTTTCTATTGACATTGTTCCAAGTCATCCAGAATGACTTTTCAGAATGTAGGCAGCATTGTACCAAGTCTAAAAAAGAGATCACGAGGCAGTTAACTGTAAAAGTGCCCAAGGGAAACATAGAATTCAGGAGATTCATTCAGTGGCCCTTATACTTGTTAAATACCATTGCCCACTCATAGCTTGCTGTAGCTCATTCGATGTCCAGGATAGCTCATTTGTTGTTTGCATTGCATTGTGTATATTGTCGTGACGTAGCTAAACCACTTCTATGATTTAACTGCCTTAAGTTAGTTGTCTTAACTGCATGTGGATGTCTTCTTTGGGTGTGTAAGTGGGGACTGTTGTCCTGCAGCGATCAATGAGGAGTATTCATTGCAACTGGACTCCATCAATGAGGACCACCAGGCACAGCAAAAAGAGCTTCAGCAGAGGTACGAAGCCCTTCAACAACAACACAAGCAATTGCACCAACAGGCCAGGGAGTTCCAGGAGTCCGTACTCTCAGACACAGACGCCAAGATCCAGGTAAGTGTGGTGTTCATGACAGGCTTGAATGGTTGTCAAGTGTGTAGTTGTCCAGGATAGCCAATGCTTTCTTGTGATAACTGGAGTGAGCTTAAAGGTGGCTCTCTCATAGCACTCTCGTAAGTTTTGGTACTACAATAATTCATATGTATTCAGTTGTTTTATTTCCCTATTTATTTCTGCTTTTTTTCTTGGAATGTTTAATATGCAATTGTTGTAATTGAACATTTCGTGAACTACCTTTTGGCTAAGATGAAATAACTTGTCTAAATATAAGATTGTATGGAATATGATAACAGCTTTTGCACACTTTTTTTTTTGTTTTCTTCCCATTTAAGAACAAAGTAAGTATGCACTTTCGAATGCAGTAAGTACATATTCCGTTTTTCTGAGAGCGTATAACAAAAGTAACTAATGTAAGCCAATGTTTCACCTCACTTCTTTAGCTGTTTGGCCCTGGTTTGGACTGTGTACAATCTGTCAGTTCATTCTTTGAAGTGAGCTTTGGCTTTTCAGTGCACCTGGTGTACCTTGCCACCATGCTGCATACTTCAAATTAAATACATATTCATGTCACACTCTTGCCTTCTTTGCAGTGGCTTTCCAAGAAAAATGCAGATCTACAGAAGGAAGTGGAAAGCTTGAATGTGGTTCTTGAGATGCGTGCCAATCAGATACAGAACTTGCAACATGCCAAGATAGAACTGGAACGAAAGGCAAGTGTTGCTTTGTCTGTGCTTCTCAGCCTCCTCAATTATGGCTGCGAAACCAACTGTAAAACCATGCAGCATTTGGTATCTCAGCTGTTGAGCGACTTTACTGTGGTATGTAGCAGGTGCGATTTCTTGTCGCATGCTGCCTTTTAGATACAATTTATTTGTACTGTCCGCATCACTCTTGTTTTTTTGTTTTTAAATACAAGATGAAGCAGACAGTGGCAGATGCTCAAAAAGCACAGTTAGCCAACAAAATTTTATGCAAGAACTCGACTTTCTTACGAATACTGGGTTCCTCTTCGCAGAAGCACCTGGCAGCAAGCAGAAAGCGAATTAATAGTCGCCGCGTCGATCTAGACCTGTATTTCAACATCGGCCTCCTTCTTATTTACAGCTAGCTGAGAGAAGAAGTATTACAGGGCCGTCAACTAAGTAAACTTGTGTACTGTTGCTTTTAAAGTTTTCCAACATAAGTACTAATGTCCTAGCATGTAGCCTAGAGTATTGCTTGTTTTTGAAGTCGGTGACTAATTTCACCAAACAGGAATCATTCAAAATGTGGCTCTCTTACGTTCGAAAGTAGCTAAAAATGTACCTTGCTTTTGTGAGGGAATTCAATTTTGCTAGATACTTACCGACGTTCTTCAAATTGTTTCAAGATGCAATAGGAAGTAGTCTTGTTGGGGAATGCTTCAAATTACCATATTTTATGGTGTAAAAGTTTCACCTTTGTATAAGATTCGCCCTCTACTTTTGATGGCTTTTTTGGGGAAAAAGGTACATAAAACACACCTATTTTTGACCCTGTCAACATCATGAAAAACAACAAAACATGTACCTAGTCACGCATGGCATTGACTATTTCTAAGCAGCAACATAAGACTTTATAAATAACACTGTGCTGAGGCTCAAAAAACCAATACTTATTCAACAGAATTTAAAGTCACATTCTTAGGTGCACTGCCAAAGTTTTTTCGCTTTGGTTGGCGTCATCATGAGGATGCGTTGTCGGCCTCTTAGTAACTTTTACGTGATGTTGAAAGCACCTTTGAGCACATTGTTGGCATTCTTTCTGTGGCATTACGAGGCTTTGCAGAAACACACAAATAGTAATAATTGCGCCTCACGTTTGACACCTACACACACAATATATAAAGTGTGAATGGCAACAGCAAGCTGCGACTACTGCAGGACTGGAGTGGTGCTTCAAGCGGATACTAATAATGATAACAAAGTGGTACTTTGGTTTCTGCGACTGGTTCTGCGGGCCCTACAACATAACAATAAAACGTTGTGGTGCTCCTTCTCTGTTTATTGCCTCCGTTCCATGGTGTTATTGATTTGCATAAGAAAAAGCAATTCAAATATTACAATAGTTTGTGCGACAATGATGGCAATTATTGCAGCCATAATCTCCGTGGTCACTGCAATCCTTGATTAGTTAGTAGCTGGCATTTAAGATCACATCCATTTCATTGTTGTAACAAGATTATATATCTGTTGATAAATGCTCTTGTACTCAGTTTACGGAACTCTCAAATGAAATACCGACATAGTGGTCTCGCAGAATGGCGTGACTTATTGTGTACGTAAGACGCACCAGCGAAAATATCGGAAAAAAAGGTTCGTCTTATACACCGAAAATCACGATAGTCGAACTAAGTCAACCAAGAGGGTCGATAAGAAAATTAAGACGAAATTCCCAAGTCATCCAAACACCTTTGTTTGGGGTGGCTGCTAGAAACTGTTGCAGTGCTTTATGTAAGCCTGCGGTGATTTGCGATTTCCGCGAATGGGTTGGGGTCTGTGCATGTGCATTTGTGAATTCTTGTTGTAGTTGTTGAGAGAGAGCTCTTTTTTGCAGCGCATCCAAGGCCAAGGCCTTTTTTTTTTCCGTTTCTTTTTTCTTCTTCTTTTTTTCTTCCAAGTTAGGCATGCGAACACGGTGTACCTTTCTTGTGGATTGATAAATAGCTAGACGTGGTCCTTGGTTTTAAAGGAGCACCAACGCGAAAAAAAATTTTGCATCTTGTTTGTTCTGTTGAAATAGGTAGTCACCGACTTGCTTATCACAGATAGAAGTGTCGTGTTCGTTTCAGAAAGTGCCAAGCGAGACTGGGTGTAGAGTGGTTTCCATGTAAACATAGGCGACTGTGTGAGCATCAAAAACAGTGTGATCATAAGCAACACCTTGAGACATCTTGTCAACGAAGGCTCTCTGCAAAACTATATAAATATGCATTGGCGCCTCAAATATGCACTCTCAAGGCAAGGAAATCGGCCTTTGTATTCGCATACGAGGCCTCTCTATTGAAAAGGGGGCATGCTGGCAGAGAGTACTCACAAAGACCGCAACAGCCAACACAAACTCGTGATGCAGGTGGTGGTTGGTTGTTTACAAGGAAACCAAAGGTGCACTTCCTGTGTGCTACTGCGACATGCACTTCAAAATTTAATGCGTACTAGGCCATAATCACTTATATTTCATGAATGATGTGTCTTTGCCCAAAAAGATCTATCCCACAAGTTCTTCTTTAAGCCACACACGATAGGCAAGTGCGCTGTTCAAGGACAGTGAATGAATTCTTACGAAAAACTAGTCACCCCGTATATGAAATTCTCTCGATTGTGAGCCCATCACAATTTGAAGAATGCTAACATCATCAATTCATAGGAGAGAAGATGTAAACTACATGTACTTCAAAAATAACAGGCCACTCAGCTTACTGGCTATTTGAAAAGATAATTACTAGTCGAACAGAGGCTACCTTGGAATTCAATGAACCAAAGGACCATGCAGGATTTCCTGCTGGCTACTCAACATATTCGCACTATGAATGATGCGATAGAGAAATGCGCAAAATATAACAAACCTTTATACATACAGCCTTCATAGATTATGAGACAAAAATTTATTTGTTGAAGTCTTCGGTAGTCATGCAGGCATCATAGAATCGGGGTGTAGACTGACTGAGAAAATCTGTGACCATGCAGGAGGAAGAATTGGACCGGTGCAAGGTAAAAATGCAGAAGATGGAGGCACGCATTGAAGACCTTCAGGAACTGCTCAATGAAAAAGCCAAGGTTCAAAGGTCAGGAGCCTCCCTGTGCATTATGAGTACTATGCAAAAACGTAGCAGACATTGCCACGGCAGGTAACTGCTGTCTGAGTGGCGTCATTCTTTGTCTTGCTCTTCCTGTGGTGACAGCAAGGAATGAAATTTGTGTAAGAAATAATTAGTTATTCACAATAGAGGCAGCAAAAACTTTAATTGTGGCAGCAGTTTGTTTTGACTGATACTCGTTATTATACACTTATGTATTTAAATCTCACATCCTGCATTTGCGAAAAATTGTGTTCACTGTTGTGGCAGCAAAGATACATTGATTCTTTGTGCCCTTTATGTAATGAAATTTTGTTTATATCAACAAAGTTTGAATTACCATAAATCCTCATATATGTGACTGAAGGCAACATACTAGCGAGGTTTGTGTTGTTTATTGTTTCTCAGTAAAATTTTTAGACTGTAAAGATTATACTGATACTTATATTATACAGTGCGTGTGGAGTTAAGGTACGAAATATGTTGTGCGCAGTGACAGCAACCCCTGCCCATTCGTACGACACTTACCCGCATGACATCAATGCACTGCGGCGAAAGGGATTTAAAAAAAAAAGCATTTGTGAAGTGTTACCCTAAGAAGAGAGTCTTGCTTGGTTCTCTTTTTTAACACCAGAGCTGTTTAAGCTAGCAGTACAACATCCACTAACAAAAAACACCTGCTGTGCCTATGCCATAACAATCGCCACACCTGTGAGCCACTTGTGCTAAAAGTGGTCAAGCTGCTGCTGCACTGAGGAGCGATCACCGCCACCAGCCATTGCTATAACAATTACCATGGTTTCGTACACTGTGGCTCAGGAACAGTGACATACAAAGTGGCAAGCTTTGCGTGAATTTGTGCTTCTTCATCTAAGCATGCTTGATTCAATTGCTGCCGGTTTTGTGAATCCCGTGCTGCAACATAACAAGCTGAGCATCAACTAGCTTCATTGTGTCAAGCTTTGCAGAAACTCATGCCACCTTCTGGCTCTTTTTTTTTTTTGTTACCATCTTATTGTTGGTGTTCAATCAGCTCAGTTCGCGACTGTTAATGACCCAAAGCGTGAATGTTCAGCTAGAAGCAGCAAAGGCAACAAACACATAGACCAGCAGTAAGTTTGAATTTGCCAAATTTGTGCAGTGGGGCAGTTTTAATTAAATAAGCGGCTGTAAAATGCAA